ACGGGGTTGGTCAAACTCTTCTTTCTTCCAGCTCTTTGAGTCGTTTCATTGATTGTCTTGTGATCTTCTTGTCTTTTGGTATCAGGCATTATGGAATACCAACTTTCCTCTCAGAACTGCTTTAGCTGTGTCCCCAGAGGAGCTCTGAATAACCTTGTCTCCCTCCCCATTGTTCGTTTCTTCATACGAAATTCTTATTTCCGTCTGATTTCTTCATTTTGAAGTAATCGTTTAGCGAGAGGTGTTTAATTACCGGACGCTTTTTGTGTAGAATGGAGTTTCTGTTACGGTTGATTCTACTCTTTATTCCACTGGCTTCTGAGAGTTACATGGGTCGATTCTATTTTTTTATTAAATTCTTGAGATCTCTTCTTTGTGTCCTAAGGATATGGTCAATTAGAGAATTCCGCGTGACGAAAGAGAAGACTATATTCCGTGGTTTCTGGTAGAAGTTCTGTAAACCAACCTGCCCGAGCTCCAGCACCCCCAATTGTTCTAGACGTTCTTGTTTAAGTCCATTATTTCTTTAATTTAATTTTTTTTTCCGTTTGAAGATCTGTCCCGTGCCGCAGCTGGGGGCGTGTTGCAACTCCTCCGGCTGTTGGAGTTGGCTATAATGCATTTGTTAGCCAGAGGGTTGCTTTATGAATCTGGGTGCACCCTAAGCGTTGGTGCATAATATTTAAAATTGTTATCCTCTTCTCCTGTTAACGCCGGTGCCTTCCCACCCATTATCATACATGACTCCCTTTGCCTTTCCTCTTTTGTTGGTTTCACAATAACCTCAATCTGACAACTAGACTGCCACCACCCAGCACTCCTTTTGGCCTCTATTTGGCCTTTGGAATATTGATCCTCCCACCCTTTATTTTTAGTCATATGCACTCCTTCGCAGGTTAGAGCTGTGTTCTTCCTGAAGACAGCGTATACTGCCCCTGTACTTTTCTTATCCATTCAGCAGCCCTATGTATCTTGATCGGAAGTTTCAACGGCCATTCACATTATTGACGAGACACGAAGGTAAGGTGATTACTCATGACTCTCTGTTGGTTGGATGTTGTTGCTATGACATCTTCTCCCCTTGAGCCATTGCAATACTGACTCTAACCTATCTTGGGCTTGGCTTGTTTTTCATATCGTCGGCGTTATATATCCATCGTATCTGGCATAAGCGCGTTTCAAGTACTTCTTGTAGGGCTGGTCTTGTCTCTGGTGACTCTCTGAGCCTTTTGCTTGTTGAGAATGTTTTTATTGTTCTCCCTTCATGATATGAACAAGCGCCCCCTTTAAAAAGTTTTGCAGGGAATAATCAACTCTACGCTCGGGCATCTGTTTTGTTTCAGAAGAGTGAGAATGGGGCCCCCACGTCTCTGCCTTGCTTGTCAAAGTCTCATTAGAGAAGTCTGATGTTATTCAACATGGCTTTCTGTAGTTACTGCTTCTTTTGTCTAACAGCTCTTAGAAGGGCCTCTTAGTTGATACCTTTGGTCAGTCTGAGGACTGCACATTCGTACGGCTTCCTGTTTGGCACTGAATCTCCCAGGCCTCCTTCTGAGCTTCTTGAACTCTGTAACTCAAGATTTTGAGCAAGCGGACCTGGGAAATTCCTGCTATTATATGCTTCAAACCCAGCTTGTCCAACCTCTTGAGTGTTGTCTTCTTCTCCCTTCTTTGTGAGCGCTATAACCCTCACCATTAGGTTTCTTCACATAACCCCAGCTTTGTAGCTTTGCTCTTCTTCCTCTTGTTTCTCTCTGCCTACCATTTCTGTGACTGATTATTTAATTGGCAGGGTATTATCTCCGAGCTCTGAGATCCTGTTCTTCTGTTTGGATCTACCTCGTTCTTTGAGACTTTCCACTGTCATTCATTTGGTAGTTCTCTGATATGATTCTTCATTTCCAGAGTCAGTTCATACTCTTTTTCTTCAATTGTGTCCTATTTCTTTCCATCATCCTCGCCGAGGCTTTTGTGCGTTTCTCTTGTGTGGTTACTGAGTGTTGTTGCAGCCTGGGTGAGTGTTCTTATGACTCACATAATGAAATTCTCTTACTGTCCATATTGGCTGTCCTGAATTTTGGTTGGTTGTCGCGTTTCTAGGGGGCTGTGCTCCTCTTCCGGGTGTGTTCCGTTGTTCTTCATATTCCTGGGTTCCTTTCACTGCATCTTCTTCCCATGCTCGATCAGCTGGTTGTTTTCTTTCGCTTAAGTTATTGTTTGGGTATCTCACACACCTCTTTCATTTCTGCAGCCGTTACGGTGGTTTGTGGCGTGAAATTGGACGCACCCTCCTGTATATGGAGCATGGTGGTTGCCATCGGACAAGGCTGTGCAAAGATGCCCATCCCTGTCAGTAGGTGGCTTGCTTGGAGGAACCAAGCTATGCTGTCGATTTGTGTCCTGTTATCAATTTCAGTCTTGTTTCTGGGAGCGGAGCTGGTTGAGGTAAGCCTGCCCTCCACAGGCAGTTAGCGCAGTGGTCCAAAGTCCATTCTCTCGCTCTAGGCGAAAGCTTGTCAAGGCCGGCTGGAATGGTCCCGCTCAGCCAGAAAGTCTGTGTGTGGGGGTGGGGCTTCCTGAGACCCGCAGTCTGGAGCAGGCCTCGCTTCTTTCCACCCTCCACCAAGTCGCAGCTACTCCTGGGCCTCTGCCAGCAGGCCAGACCTCAAGCCACCAGGCCTCCCCGGACTGTGATGCCGGCGGGGAGGTTCCCTGCACCGGAACACCACCTGGGTTGGCGCCACGGCCTCCTCCTGGGAGGAGGGTTGCCCTCCAGGACGCCGAACCACCTGGAGGCACACGAACTCAGTAGGCTGCCGTATAACCCTTTTGTGCCCCGGCGCATGCTAGCCCTCGGTGCAGGGGATCTGGTCTGCAGGTCGGACCTCGGGTCCCAGAGTTCAAACTGTATCCCCACCAGGGAGAGGATTTCCGGTCCCAATTCACCCCACAGGGATTCCCAAGCTGGGTCTATGTCTCCTCAGCCTCTGAGTCGGCACCGTTCTCCTGGGAAACACTGTGCCAGCAGCACCTGGGAGGGCGCAGGTCAGGGAGCTCACAGTCTGAGTTCCCTGAGTCAGCTGTAGGGTCCAAAAGGGAAGTCACGTTCCGTGAGGTGCCTCTGGCTGGTGGCTGTATTGTCTCTCTGGGCAGCCTCGGGTAGGCTCGGCGGAGGGGAGGAGGAGGCAATATGTCGCCTGCTGCGCGGCTTGGGTCTGTGCACATGGAGGTGCCCGGAGGAAGTTGTGAACCTGGTGCCACGTCTGCTACAGGCTCACCGCTGGGTGGCGGCGGCGGTCTCTGGGCTGGTGTCCGCAGGTCTCTCCACCCGCTGGGGAGCCCACCAGCAGTCCCAAATGCAGGGGAGGGGAAACAGCAAATCCACCTACCCTTGCCGCTGGTCTCCGGGCTGCTCCGGTGGTCTCATCCTCCAGTTCTTCTCTGCAGCCTCCTCCTGTGGGGTCTCCCGGGGTCTCAGGTACCCCTCCTTCCGGCCCTTGTCCGCTGTATGCTCGTCTTCTTGCTTCTTTCCTCTAATTTCTGCTAGAATCTGTCTTTTCTGCAGAGACACTCTGTCTGGCAGTGTTATTCGTCCGCCATCTTGCTCCATCCCCCGTGTTTTTGTTTTTTATAAATTTTGCCTTAAATATAAATTTTATTTGTTTTCAGATTATAATACCATTACCCACTTATTGTAGGGAACATGAAAAAAATACATCAAATAGCCATTTCTTTTTCTCTTTGTTTTTGGCCCTCAGATAGAACTGAGCTACTCAGACTGGCATGTGGGTGAACTTCTTATACTTCTCAGATCCACGGAATGTTCCTGTAAAAGTCAGTAGAGGCCAACTGCTATCGCAAACAACCCCAAATGTCAGTGGCTAAACCCGGTAGAAGTTCACATTGGGCTCATGCCCGTTTTGGTTCAGCGGGGGTGGGGGAGGTGGGGGGGAATATGCTCCTCCCACTGGTTCAGGGATCCAGGCTCTTGGCGTGAGACTCTCCCCCACCCAGGCCCCTGCAGACTGTGAGATGCTCCCGTAATAGTCTTTGCATATCTCTACCTTTGCTTTCATCACCAAATACCATGATTAGTGTACCTGGACTCCTTACCCTACTAGACTGTATGCTTTAAGAAGAAAATGTGTTTTATTTGTATGTATTGATAGAAATCTAATACTCTGTGTAGCACATAATTGTGGTTTTTAAAAATGTTTGTTAAATTAACAGAGTAAAAAAATCAACACTTGCAAAAAAGACTAGAAAGAAGGTTGTTGAAATGGTGAGTTTCAAGTATTTTTGCATTTAGCATATGTTACTATTATAATCAGGAAAAAAGGAAACTCTAATAAGTTACTCTAAAAAATAAGTAAATTTTTAAAAATTTTTTCATTTCTTTCTTCTAATCAGTTCTTTATCTGTTTCTATCTGTTATCCTTTAAGGTTTCTACATATACAGTCAGATCTTATGCTGCAGTTTCCCTTTATTATTTTACAAAGAAAGTCTTTTATAAACCAGCAGAACTCTTACTGACTATATAGAAAACAGAAAAAATTCTTTAAAACAAAAAGTAGAATATATTAAGAAAAAAAATTACATAAAGCATAGCCCTAATTTTTAGAAAAAGCAGGCAGTTAGACATATTACCTTTTTAAAAAGTACTTTTGTCCATTGACACTTTTTATTAATGTTTAAATAATTTATTTGAATTTTTAAGTCTCTTTGTGATCTGAAACATCTCTTTGCTTTTATAATGGTTCTAGAGGAATGTTCTTTAGTATTTCTCAGAACTAAAACAAATAAGTGAAATGTTCTATAAAGTGATATAGCTTAATTTTAAGTGTATTTTAAATTTGACAGAACTCAGCTTTGTTTATTTGATTTAAATCACATTGTTGGGAACATGCCTGTGCACACGGCCTCCCCCTCCTCATTTCTATCTGACACCCATGATGTCCTGCTCTCTCCCTAGACTTAGAATCAGGAACTCAGACTTCTGTTAAAATGACCACAGTGTACTTTATTTAATGATTTTGGTACCTTGTGTTGCAATAAAATAAAAAAAAATCTACAAAATCCAAATATATAAAATTTCAAGTTTTCTTTTTTTTTTTAAGTTTTACAAGAAAAATCATGGAACCAAGGAAATTTGTTCATTATGAAGTACTACTTTCCACTTCATTTCATCACAAATTGCAACTTACTTAACAGACCAAAATAACTATGGTACTGTAGTACATCAAATACTCCACACACTGTGCTTTGAACTAGGGCACTTGGGGGTCACTGCCCGGGAACAGTGGCCTCCTGCTGATAAAGACACACTTACAATCCGAACGCTAAAGTGATGTTTGGATACATGGAATTTGAATATATATATTTACAGGAAGGAAACAAATTTAATAACTAGTTTAATTCTTCATTTCAAATAAAATTCCAAATACATTTGTACAGTGTTTACAAAGTAAAAGCACAAGAACTGCCAAGATGATCATTCGGGTCCAGGCACTGTGCTCATACTTGGGGGAATGTCCACGCTGTTCCCTACACACACACACACACACACACACACACACACACACGCACACACACACACACACACACACACACACGGGGTCTCTCAGACCTTATTTCTGTAACGAAGAGGGAAGCACAGGAATGGCAATTTTGCACAATCAGAATGTCATGCAGATAGTTGACAACAGGGAACTGAGAAATTATCGGTCCGTTCTCTTCAGTTTGCTGTTCACCTGCCACCTGTTACATATATATTTTTTTTCAGAGATAGATTTAAAACAAACAAAAAAAATCGAATGGGGAAAGGAGCACAGAATGTTTAAGGCAAATTAAGCAAATATAGAGCAGCTTCTCTTGGTGTTGAGTGGAAATGAGGATTTTACCCCAAACCAAACTTAGAAACAAACAAAACAATATTAAGTACAACCTCCTGAGGTTGGGTGGCTTATGTCATGTACAAATTTTTGAAAATTGCTTTGCACCAAGTATCCTTTTGAAATTTTAGATAAAAGACTTGGTTACAAAGTGCATGATTTCATGTTTCTAAATAAAAGAACAGTAGCTGAGGTAGTTAGATGTGAAACTTATTTACTTAAAATAACTGGAGAATGAAGAACATCTGTCAGTAGCAAAAAATCCTTGCCATTTGCAAGTAGGTTTATATTGTGCAGTGGTTTAGTGCTGAGCAAAATGCTTCTATTTTTCTATTGGATGTTATTAATTAAACCAGAATATTAGTGATAGCAGTATTTGTTTCCAATCTGCTTAGTAGGATGTCAGTATAGATAGTTTGTATCCCTAGTCATCCCATTTATAACTAATGTTTACACCATTTCTGCATTGAAGCTTTATGTAAAACAGGATTAATTATTTTTACTGTAAACTCCAACCTAAATTGCAAGAAGAATTTAGTAAAACCTGAGAAAAGAATCCACAAGAAAGATGGGAAGGATGATTTCACTCTCACTTTAACAACAATTTTGTCTTACTCCTAAATTCAATGTACTATTTGGTTTCAAAGAGGGAAGTTACTTGGGGCTCATTTGTTGCTCTCTTTGCTTGGAGAATGGGAAAACCATACTTTGCATATCCTTCACTGTTTCTGTCTCTGGCTACTGAGCTGTCTGGCTACTGGGAGGAAAGCAGAAACTATTTAGAAGAGGCAAGATAATTATAGCACTGGTAATGATAGCCGCCTTCTCCCTGTCCCTTTTGCCAAAGAAAGGCTTCAGGTAGTAGCTTTCAATAAGCAGTTGACCAAAAGATTCATTTTTTTTCTTAGTCTCATATCATCTATATATGAAAGTAGTTTTGTGATAGTAATATGTCAGTGATATGGACAGATATAAATTAGTTGGGAGACATTTCTTTGGAGCAAAAGAAAATTGCTATGTGCTTTCTATCTTTTGTTTATGGAATAGAAATCTAACCAGAAGTAGCCATGAAGAGGTTGACAACTACATTACAAAGCATCACAGATGTGATGTTTACAGAACGACTGGTCCTTACCAATATAATCACGTACACCTTTGCCCAATTCTAGTTTTTCTAAAATGATTCTCTTATTTTCAGGGAAGGCTCTGGAAAGTTCCATGGGGTCTGGAAAGCCATAAAGGGCTCAGGTCCCCTTTCTCCATGATTAGATGTATAGCTTATATCTAAGTTACACATTGTCTCCACTTGTCTTTCCATCTCTTTGGTAAAGAATCTAGCATTTCCAAGAGTTGTTGAGCTCTAACAGTGAGGATTCTGTTTTGTACCTTTGTGAGAAGCTGCCACTTTCTAACTCAGGCCCCTGGGTCTAGTCCAAGTATGCAACTTCACTTTTCTTGTGCAAAATAAAAACATGGATATTTCCCTTCATAGCAAAAAGGATAGTCTGTTGTATTTTTGGGTGGAAAAGTATTGATGCTAGGAACTAAAAAAAAAGCCAGGACAATCCAAATTATTCTTTGACTCACTTACTGTATTCATGTTATTAGTCTTTGAATACAATACTTAAGTCCTGTGTGGCAGCATAAACCTTTTTTTTTTTTTTTGGATAAGGTAATTGCCCAGGTTAAATTCATGCTTCAGAAAGCTTAATATCATGTATTAGAAATTCTTAACCACTTTGAAATTTTAAGGCTTCCATATACCACTGCCAACTAGATTTTAGAATCCAGAAGAGATTATATTGAACATATATATTATGTCAGCTCCAAACACAATATGATTTCAAACCCACTTCTCAAGATAAACTTTCTAAAACTCTATTTTCATATTTTTAAGAGTGTGCAAACTTTTTTGCAAAGCAATACAACTATTAAATAAGGGCACAATGATAGCATTTATGTACAAACCTTTGCCTCCTGAAGCCACATCATTAAAACATTATTTGCATTGTTAGTGTAGTTTTATGGGTGTATTCCTACTTCACAATATTGCCTCTATGCCTCAAAATTACAAATATTTATAAGCCAAAGTCAAGTTATTTAGCATTCATTCTTAACAGGATTAAATCTTTAAGTAAGAGAAAATGTTACCTTTGGGGAAGTTGTATAGGATATCCTCTGAGATTATTTTTCCATCATCTACTTTATCTTATTATCTTATCTTTTATTTTAGCAATATTCTCATCTATGCATGTGTAAGTATATGTATATTGATATATAGCTGAAGCCCTTGTGTAAAGACTTCTCTGAAATATTTCACATGTATTTATAATGGGAAGATGATCGATTCAGGAGCTCCAGGCGGAAATAAGGCTCTACACTCTTCTGTTGGGTTGTGCAGGGAGAGATGTGTCATCTTAGGGAAGAAAAGGAAACTCAGTGCAAATAGCACGAGTCTAATCTCAGCAACAGCTGCTGAAAATCCCGTTCCCGCCCCCAGTAGTGGATTTTAGGGCCCATTGGCAATCATTAGCACTGAACTGGGGTATCACGCATGAGTTCTGGAAAACGTGGCTTGGGATCAGGCATGCAAACTCCTTATACATCAGAAGGAGCCTGGTTTTCTGGATGCATTTAATAAACATTTATTAAAATTCAGTTTGGCTAAGAGGAAAATCATCAATCTGTATGAAGCTTCTCTATGTCTGTATGAAAGGAGTTAATTTTCTCATTAAAGAGCTAATAAGGAAGGAAAATTCCACATACACCTTTGAAGAAAAAGCGTGACTTTTATGGAGTGATGGGGAGCTGTCATATTCTTTGCCTGGTGAGTTATTGCTATTGTGTTCTTCCGATGAGACCTACTCCCACCTTCGCCTGTCCCCCTTGCCACGCCCAGCTCTGGTTTGTGTTAGTGCTGCTTACCAAGAGTGACAGTGCTTTCTAACCTAAACGCGTGTTACTAACTCTAATTAATGTCCACGCAACACCCCTATGAGGTAGGTAAATAAATATTATCTCTCTTTTACGTATGGGAAAAATGAGGCTGAGGGTGAGTTTCTGAGGCTGAAGAGTTGGACCAGGGATTAAGACTCAGGTGTGCACAGACTCCTAGTCCCTTTGCTGCAATGGCTGGGCCACAGCCCCTCATGTCCCTGCATCCATATATCCTGTAGTGTAAAAGGATATCGTTTTGTAGAATATATTGAAGTCTATTTAGAACAGTCACTGTATTCAACACAGGGATTTTTGGTTTTCTACTGAATCATAAATTCCATTCAGTTATCACATAATCAAGGATAACTGAAAACAAAGACTAATGTTTTGCCAATTGATTGTCGCTTCTTTGTTACTAATTCAACGAAACATCCTGTCAATAACACAAAGGTAAAAAGATCTGGAATGGGATTTAGCGAAGTAAAAATCTCAAGGAAAAAGAAAAGCAAAGCCAAGTTGGAGTTGGTACAGAGATGAGCAGTGGAAGCTGGTTCTGAAGGTTTTCACAGGTGCTCACGTGGCTGCCGCGACCTTCCCTCCTGGGAGGGCTTGCAAACGCGGCCCTGGGCAGCGCCATGCAGGGTGTGGAGTATCCATTTGCGTTCAGGGAAAATGTTGTGTTTGAGCGAAGGAGGAACCCCACAAAGAACTAGATTGCCCACACCGTGAAGTCATTCTAACTTGGCACTAAATGTAGAATTTGACATAATGAAAACATTACGTAAGACCTTTCAAAACATTTAGATTTTCTCTGGAAATGCCTTCAATCCCTCTGCAGTGCCCTGTGTGCCTGTGTAGAGTCAACGATTTGTAGCAAGTTCCGTAACATAAATGCTCTTTAAAACATTGGTCTGAATAGCTTGTCTATTTTTCTGCCAAGCTTCAGATAGGTAAATGCAGTAAGCACAAAATTTGAAGAAATACACATGCCTACCAACCCAGGCCAAGTCAGAGGAAACACAAGGTCAACTTCCTAATGTTACAAGGAAGAAACGTCTACAAATAATCACAAATACAATAATTGGTAAAGACATCTCAAACTTTCCTTCCAGGAGGTGAATTTGCCATTAATGTCAACTTTTTCTTTTTTTTTTTTTCTAGGAATTTTAACAACGACTAGAAAGAAAACACTAATACTTCAACATTCAGGATAATCAGTTGGTGTTTGGTAATCAGAATGACATCAACAAATCAAACCAAAAAAACTATGTACATACAGTATTTTGTTTGATTTGGGAAAAATAGGTTTTACTTTTATCGACACCATAAAATTCATCATGAAATAATAGCATCAAGCAGTCTGAACCATTTCCAGGCTTAAAAAGCATAATAAGGAATGCTTAAAATTAAAACTTCTATTTGAAGAATAAAAAATTAACATATCTGTATTTCCCTTGAACCACTTCTTCAAGTAGACTTTGTGAATGACTTATATGAACAGCTGAAGAGCAATGATGAAATTATAAAAGATGGCAAAGGCTGAATAGAAAGGTTTCTTGCCTGGAAGGGATTGAGTGGAAGGCCTTTGGAATGGCCACTCTGGAGGAGGTTGTGCTGCAGTCGCATCTAGATCACCAAGGACAGCCTACCGAACCTCTTCCATTCATGCGTTTGCCAAAAGCAAATAAAAATCAATAACATTTGCTCTTCATTATTTATTTCTCTTTGCACAACAAAGAGACCCTTAGCAGCAGAATATCACCAGCAATTGATTACTGCACAAGAAAGTTATACTCTGTTACCTACAACCTGAGCAGTTTGTCTATCTAGACAATACCAGACAACCAGACAAAAAACTGTATGTGTCAAACATCTGGACTTTCCTAAATATCCAGATGTTTGATATCATGAAGACTAAATTTACCACTTGAGTGACCTACTTCTTCTCTTTTCATTGGGATATTTGCAGTCATGTGGACAGTCTTTTATTTTTTAATAATGATGTACTGTCTACTTTGGTTTAGTGAAGATGGTTCAGCAATCATCTGGAAAATTCAGATATCAAAAGCCCCCAAATGAAAAGAAACTTAGTCATGAGGAAAAAATCAGAGCTTTAGGGTTGCCAATGGTCCAGTGGTTTTGTCTACTTTGAAAAATTATCTTAACTGTCCCTTTATTTCCACCTCCATTATTCTGAAAATTATTCTCACAAGAATTATTTTTCCAATTTGGGAATAGATACACAGACTAGGTGCCTGGCAGAATCAAGGCCCAAAGTATGTCTAAAAGATTCTAATCCTTGTAAACCTGGTTTAGTGTGTGTGAACACAGAGGCTCGTGTGATGCCATGACATATTTACAATGGGATGATGAGTAAGGCCTTGGTTACCCTGAATCTCATTGCTGTTAAAAGGAGGGATAGTTAAATGGTTCATATTCCACAAGCAAGAGTGACTTGAAACACCTTATAATATCTTATTTTAGAATCCATCAGAAGCTCTCGGTGTGCAGAGCACGTAGGAGCTAGTCAGGGGAGAACTATCACAGGACGAGAGTTCCCTTAATGAGAGAGTCAGTCTCAGACATGATGTCACCAGCATCACCTCCCACTCTCATCGGGCCTTGGCCTTCCACAAGGGGACATGTCTGGTTTAGCTACAGACTGGCAATGCCTGCCTTGAATTTCTGCTCTTTAGAAGGCAAATACTCCTGATGAGCCACTGACAGGGTTTCCCTTTGCTCATCACAGTTGGCCACCTACATTAATAGAAACACTGTGTCCCAACACCCAGCACCTCCAGGGTCACTCTTACCTATGGGCCTTGCTTAAGAGGACTGTTATTGCTCCTATGTGCCCCCAGGCAACCAACTCTTTGTATGTTACAGGGTATCTTTGTGCCTATGTGGGCTCGGCAGTTCAGGAAATGAACATTTTCTTTGACTTGTTAGTTTTCATTGCCTGGCAATTAAAAATAAGCCACATGGTGGTGGACCACTTTCCTACCATTCAGTTTCAGTTCTTGTGCAGAGACCTCCCTCTGAACAATGAATAGCTGAGATACTCATGCTGATAGCTGGGAATATCACTCAGTAGCGCTTGAGACATCCTGGCCATAGCCACCAAGATGATTGCTTAGGAGGCAGAAAGATCTCTGAAACACAAAAAAGTATGCATGCTTCTACCTCTCCTTATTTTTCTTCTAGATTGCTTATTGGATGGATCTGATGACTTCCACTCATTCATCTAGGGCTAACTCCTAAAATTATTATACTAAAAGATTAGACAGAAAACTTTAAAAGAACATTTGGAGGCCTCATTCTCTTGCATACTCTGAAACTATGCTTTGATAACTTCTTGTCTTGCAGCTCAAACTTTTCCTTGAAAAAACAGAAGCAAGGGGGAAAGAACCATGTTCTAAATTACGCAACTACCTGTTTACTTCTAAGTGAAAATTTAGGCATTAAAACTATCAGATTGGTGATCTTCATGCTTGTAATCAAGGTTTTGCAGGGTCTGAGAAGCAACAGATGGCTCATTCCACACAGAGATGGATCTCGGTTTGGAACTGATAATGTCACCACCTAGGAAGGCAGGAATCAAATTATTCAATAGCTATATCCATGCAGATTTTACCTCTGAAATTGAATTATAGACTCAACTTTTACAAATTGGTAATTACAATGCTGACAATGGTAGTCTCAAGAAATGAAGAAAAAGCAGCAACTCTACTCAGGCAGGTCAATTAATAAACAGATGCCAGTGACATTTTTTTCATTTCCAAACATGTGGATTTGAATCCATTTAAAGCACGTCTCCATAACCCAGTACCCATCCTCTGAGCCATGCAAGCCCCCAGAAATTTTTTTCTTTTTTTTCAAAGCAGTGCTTACTGGCAAAAACAAATGAAGCAGATGAATATTCATAGCATGAATGATGAGAACCAGGTAGCAGGAATTCATTAGCGCTGTGCTTCGTGGAGGTCTTTCTCTCCAGGCCTGGGCACGTGGCGGCACTTCACTGAACGAAGTGCTCCTTTTCCACTAACTGATTCATGTTCCCTTGCAGGAGCTTGGTTACAATATTACAAGTCAAGACTTTGCAAGATTAAAGTGTCTGTTGAATTAATTAACTGCAAATCACTTCCAGTAAAGCTTGACAAGCTCCAAGATGTTTCTGTAAAAGAAGAAGGCAATCGATAGCATCAGCAATATGCAGCTTTGTGACAGTCGAGCCTGTATTTCTGAGCGTGACGGCTCACGGCCGCCCTTCCCCTTGTGTCAGAGGAATTTCTTTCTTTCACAGAGTACTAAGCCTCTGATTCAGACCAAAAAAATGCTTCACCCTAGGCTTTCGAAACATACTACAGAAATCCATTTCCTCTTTTATGATGATACATTAGATAGGTTAATAAGGGAAGTTGAATATTTTAGTTTTTTGAAAGAAGGGTATAAAATGACAATTCTTTCACTAGCTGAGGGTTCTCCTTTGGTTACACGATGGTGTGCTATAGTTCCCAATTGCAAAAGAACAAAAAATCATACAAAGCTCAATAGAAAACCAAAGGTTAATTGCTAAGTGGAGCCATATCCAACATGCTCAAACGCAAGTGCTCATTTTCCAGACTTGCAATGGATTGAAACGCTGGTGTTGATTAAGACAATGGCTGTAATCAAAATAGGAATTTGATACAATGATAGAAACCCAAAATATATTTTCAGCACACATAGAGGTATTTTAAAACTTATCGATAAATGAATTAATTTGAAATAATTAAAATTGTTGATTCAATACAATGTCAGACCAGAATGCCACTAGAACAGGTAAATTAAACTAGTTTAAACAAAACATCACCATTTGTTAATATTTGTGGCACTTAAATGAAGTAAAAATTTGATTAATTCCATTTTAACGCAAATCAAGCAATGGAGAGAAAAGAGGGCCAACCTGCTTAATTTGTGGATGGAAGTATAATAAAAACACAAAACCTTATACTTTTGGAAATTCTAATAATAGAGCAGGTGACAGGCTTCAATTAGTACTGAAGAGAAAATCTTGTGTTGGTACTGTGCCAATAATATTTTCTTATTCTTTTGATTAATTAGTTCTAATGTTGATTTGTTTTGTTAAACATGATTTTTGCTCAGCAAATATTATGTCAGTAACTACAGGCTTCTTTTTGTCTGGTGCAATGACTAAAACAGCAATAGTTGCAGTAATGAATGTGGTAATGGTGGCATGAATCTAGAAATCATGGTAGAGATCTAGCAACATTATTAGGCCAACTCTTTTATTAATGCTTAATGAGACTCACTAAGGAATTCTTTAAATTATTCTGTGCCTGTAAAAATTAATATGCTTTCTTCTCTCTTTCCTTTTATTCCATAGAAGGCCAATGTGTTTATACATTCCATGATAAGAATTATTTCACTTACAGAAAATTAGTTATGCAAGTTAACAGTGATCTTTAAAAATCTGCTCCTCACATTGGGAAGCCAGTCATACTGGGCCGTATTGCAGGAGCGACTCGGATTGTGTATGATGCCAGCATGGGCACGCACGAGGGGCTGGGGTTGGCTGTCCTGAGTCCTGAAATGTACCACAGCACGGTGCTACCCCCTGGGCATTGCAGGTGAGGCTGTAGAACAATCTCCTAGGTTGCAATAGCTGAGATTTATACCTGGAAATTTGTTTTTCCTAAATGACTCGTATGCTGGAGAGATACACTATGTGCTAAATAAGTGTATCTTCATTACACTTCATTACACCAGGAGGCTTTCCTGGAAATCAGAGAAATAATCTATTGGAAAATTCTTCACTTTGGAGGCTCTCTAATTTTGTGGATTTTCTTGAAAGAAATTCTCAGGAATTATTTCCAAAGTTTTTTCAGAGATGATTATATTGAGTCAAATACTATGTGCACGAGAGCATTTCAACTTTTTGTTTTGTTTTGTTTTCTGACTTTGATTTAAATATATCTAGTGTTAGAGAATCATAAAACCAAATTGTAAAATTGCTTTTCTCTTTATAGGCAGTTATCTAGTGCTGATTTATCTTTGTATTTATATCATCACTTTATGTTTGTCATCATGCATGGTAATTGTTTACTGTGAGGCTTACATAATAGAGTTAGGTGCTGCATAATGGCATGTAGGTCAATGACAGACCACATATACAACAGTGATCCCATAAGATTATTATTATTATTGTTATTATTATTATTATTAGAGACAGGATCTCACTCTTGCTCAGGCTGCTCTCGAACTCCTGAACTCAAGCAATCTTCCTGCCTTGGCCTCCCTACTAAGATTATAGGTGTGAGCCACCATGCCTGACCCCCATAAGATTATAATACTGCATTTTCACTATACCTTTTCTATGTTTAGATACACAAATACTTACTATGGTGTTACAGTTGCCTACAGTGTCAGTACAGTAACATGCTGTATAGGTTTGCAGCTAGGAGCAGTGGCCTCTGCCACATAGCCTAGGTGTAAGTGCAGCCTATTAGTCCACCTAATAATGACATCACCTAAACAGTGTATTTTTCAGAACATATCCCCATCTTTAAGTGACACATGACTATTCAATCTTAGAAATGCTTATGTTTCTTTCTTGCTTTAATTTAGAATTAAATATAGATATCGACAAGAGAAAGAACAGTGTGATGGAATAGAAAAGAGTTAAAGTCAGAAACTCTGATTCTGCTACTTGTAACCAAGCTATGAGCTACTCAAATGCAGGAATCCTTTTCTGCTTCACGGTGTGTTTCCTGGCAGTACTAGTCACAGAGGTCATACTTTTTGAGAAAAAGACTCAGGGAAGCAAAAGTGTAAAGTGTAATCCTGATTAGAAAAACTACCTGCTCTTTGAATCTCAGTTGTCTCATCTATAAAATAAGGGTGATGAAGTAACACTTAGATTTCTTTTACATGCTTGTTTCTATAAAAATTAGTGACTTCTACTTTAACACAGGCTCATAAAGATCTGCTTAAGCCAAATTAGGAAGATAGATGATTGCTTGTATTTTATTTTAATACATTATGTTCAGATTGATCATTGAAGATTTTATTTTTAAAAATAAACACCAGTGTTGAGAAAATTTTTGGTTTATTATTGGCTACCTTTTAAGCATTAATTCAAACAACATACACACAGCTTACTGTGCAACGTCGCTGAGTGGGAACATCTTGTAGATCTTTAGACATGCTACATCTAAAGTGATAAGGGAAAGAGCACATCGATTATTTTATAATTCAATTCAACAAATATTTGGTAAACACTTGCAATAGTCTTTGCATCTAACTCTTCAATCTAAGATAAGGTCCCTAGACTTATATAATGTTCATGTTAATAGTTTAATAATCTTCTTAAATATTAAATTTGGTGACCTGTGAGAGATTAAATAAAATTTCAGGAAAAATTATGGCAATGGAACAGAATTACCTTATAATATGAAAATAATGTCACTTCAAAGACTTGCTAGATTTCTCTCTCCTTCTTTCCTCCCTTCCTTCCTTCCTTCTTCTTTCCTGCCTGCCTACTCTTCTTCTTCCTTCCTTCTTCCTTCCTTCCTTCTTCCTTCCTTCCTTCCTTCCTTCCTTCTTCCTTCCTTCCTCCTTCCTTCCTTCCTTCCTTCCTTCCTTCCTCCTTCCTTCCTTCCTTCCTTCCCTCTCTTTCTCTCTCTCTCTGTCTCATCAGAATGCCAAAGTAGGGGAGTTTAGTTATTTTTCAGTCTGCCTACTGGATGACAGTAGGATGACACATATAGAATATAAAAGAAGATAACATCAAGTTAATTTATCTTTATCACTTATTTAGTGCAGAGCAGAACCATGGAGTGGGGGCAGTTGTCTGGAATGGACGAATAGCATTTATCTGCTTACTGTGGATTAGAGAGTTGAAGTACAACTCAGTAATAGGTGATAGAGACTTTCATTTCTCATCATTGACTTTTTAAATTTTAACTGTTCATTTTGGAAGACATTTTTGACTTTTATATGAAAATTTTTTGGAGAAATTTGATCATCAGATCATGATTCTGTTTCTCCTGAGGGCTTGCCAAATCAGGAATAGATTTTGGTGGGAATATTCCTTGGTCTTCTAGAAGGGGTTGCAGTTGTTAAAAGCTGTGCTCAACTCTCAGCTCCATTGTTTCCTAGCTGTGGTACCCCTGACAAGTGGCTTGACATCTCTGAGCTGAGTTTTATCATGACTCATAGGTGATTATGAGGACTCAATGAGACCACATAGGTAAAGCTCTTAGCCCAGCACTAGGCACCAATAAACTTTCAGTGGTGGTGAGCTACTAGCAATATGGCAAATGGAACTACTAGAAAACCTAAAGGAAGATAAAATAACCAAAGTGAAAATTTGACTTAGGCCACTTGTTTCTGACTTAGGCTATGGAAGGAAACATTTCAGCAAAATGACTAGACATTTCAGAAACATTAAACCTTCCTCTTGTTTAGCAGATCATAGGCCTCAAGTTTGACTGTAGTTTTATATTCCTAGGCTCTATCATGGCATGCGATGTAACAAAAGTCTGATACTTTCTTTCCTGTGGAATCGAGATAAAGAGCTTCCAGTGGACGGTGAAACAAGACACCTCAAACACTCTAGGGAGAATTTCTAACCCCCTCCCCATCTCTGTGGGCAAATGGCTGTTTGGCACTTCCTCCATGTGGCTTTCTGTTGGCAGAGCAGGCTGCTTGAGAGCTAGCCTAATTGCTACAATTAGCAAAATTAAATGGCTCATTATGTTTTTATACAATTCCACCCACATTCTGCAGTTTTACTTTAGAATGAGTAATGATCTGCGGAGGCTGTCCATCGGGAGTCTTTGCACGTGACCATTTAGGACAGCAACTGGACAAGACATACGTTGACAGGGAAGGGTCTGCAATGGCCAGGCGCTGCCATACAGGCAGCTGAGTGAGGAAAGGAGGTGCCACCCAAATGCTCAGACCATCTCATGGCCTGATCCGGATCAGGACGAGAGTCTCAGGCGGGGATAAAGTGAAATCGCCCATCCTTTGCCATTTTGAAACACTTGAGCATGAGGTGCGAGAGGAGTGGCATGTGGCACAGGCTGGCAGAGGCAATCAGTTTGATTGTTTTCAAAAGTGGCACTGGGTTGCTGAGATAAGGGAATGTTGATCTGCATCCATCACTGAAATTACAGCAGCGACCACCCAGTCCTGCTGTGTTTTCACCATGCACCTCAACCATCCTCCGAGCTATATTCTGAAAGACAGGCTGAGCTATTTTTAAAAAGGCTTTAAGGAATTCTCCTTAGAAACATAAAAATGCAGGCGTCTCATCCAAGCTTTATATAGAAACAGTGATGGCTAATGGCAAAGATGTGTGGAAAATGCAAGGGAGCATATATTTAGTCTAGAAAATGGTTCATTAGAAAAAAAGTCTCTGGATTCTTGTCTAAACATTGTGTCAGAACTTGTTTCCACTCGATGGCGTTTGGTACATTTAAAAGCAAATGTGTAACCTTACACGATCCTGGTAAGGGCATCAGAGGTTTTCTTTACTCAATTCAATCTGTTCAGAGAAAGAAACTTTGAAATGACACAAAACTATTCTATTCAGCTGCTTAAAAGATGAGATTCTTAAGGAGTGATAAAGCTCATTCAAGCTAAGAGGCACTGAATTCTAGCTGTACTTCCAGCTGAAGTTCCTAGAGTGCTGCGGCCTTACAGCTGTGGACTGTAGGCTCGGGCTGATTTTGAAAAAGGAGTAGGAACAAGCTTCTTATCTAAAAGTTCGTGTGTCAAAAACATACCACTTTATATGTATTAGAGGGCAGTATATCTTTTATCCTTTTCTGTTACTTTAGTTGGGAAAGTGTATTTGTGTGTGGGTATATATATATATATATACGCACACGTAATATACACACATATATATTTATATATGTGTACATTTAAAACAGTCATTGAGATTTCATTTATTCCCATTCACTTTTAATTGGTTAGCACAATTACTTCATTTATTCATAGAGGAAAATAAATCGGGCATTTAGAAAGTAACCATAAATAACTTCATTTTACTCGTATCTTCAGATTATCTTTTGCTAATACTTGAATGGCATATTCTTGCTGTGTCAGTAAGAGAATTTGTTGGGTTAATAGCACCCATCATAAAGGAATTGTGACTGAATGTCTGCAAAGGCAAGGTTGGTGAACTACTAGACAATACATAGTTAAGTAGGGCAATGTAAAGGTGAAAAGAGGATTTAAAGGACATAGTCATTTTGGGGACCAAACTTTGACTTACATGGAAAAATTTTTTTCCTCCACACAAATGCTTAAAGTGTCAGCAGTATGGTTAAGATATATCTATATAGATATATATTTTTTTCTTTAAATATAGTTTCATTTAGAAATGCTAGCACAAAAGTAAGAAGAAATACAATATTTTTCCTTTAGAAACTTTCTGATCCTAAGCAAAAAGTGAGTACTAAGAAAAGACCACCTGTTAATGGAATCCAATGGACTCAGGTACTGGAAGGTCAGGCCTAAAGCACCCAGCATTTCCAATCTATATGCTAACCACAGCGCAGCCGTTTGGATTCTCTATTTACTCTCTGTGGAGGGTTTAAAGGCAGATTGAAAAGGAAATCTTTGAATTAAAATATAAATACAAAAATCAAACTTTGTTCCTTTGTACATTGACAATGTCTCTTTAAATCCTAATACTTTAAACTCTCTGTTATCTGTGCTTCCAAAAACTAATAAAAGTTGTTATTACCACATCAGTCTGATGGCAGTGTAGTGCTTTTTGAATCATGGAAGCAAGATTAAATTATGATTTGCTGCTAGAGTAAGCTTTTTTGTAGTCTTTTGAAAAATTGCAATTTGTAACATGGTGGATATATATCCTTTCCATACCAAGAATTCATGGCTTACTAAAATAATATAATCTTTAAGTATGTTGGATAACAGAGTATTTACAGTATTTGGGAAATCATTGAAAAATTCAAACTCTGTACACCCTGCTAACTGCCAATCTCACCTCCACGACAAATCACAGGCCATTATTTTTTAATTACATAGTACTCATTTTGAGTCTTAACATGTTAAGTGAGGGATTAAGTTGAGAAATAACTTAGAACTTACATGATTGAAGCATGATGGGGCTTGTTGGGTTTGTGTTGGTTGATTGACACTATTATACTGTAATCTGTGATTTACTCATGGAATCAAAGGTATAGTTCAACTGAGAAATTCAATTTCCAAAGATCATCAGTTAAAAGCTGTCTTGGAAATAATAAAGCTAATAACTCATGGTTCTGCACAAAAGTGAAGAATTTGCCAAAATAATAATTTTTTCCTTCTATAATGGGGGTGGAATGTTTCACCATATGCTGACAAGAAGAGCATCCTCCTGGGCCTTCACTGGTGACTAGGTAATCTTTCCACATTCCAACAAAAGATTAGTATTTTTTAGTGGAAATCTTGCTTGGAGGATCAAATCATGGAGTGCTAGGAGGTATACCTACTTATAAAAATGGTCTTTTTTTAAAATTGCTTTGGGGCTTTGTACCAAAAAACGTTGAGCCCTCAGTTACTTCCTGTGGATGTCATCTTGGGGACAGCAGTCTCTGGCTGGCACACCCATTACACATGGTGGCTATGGAACTTGACTACTTTAAGTGAATTGAACAATCCAAATAACTGAATAATTAAGTTAAAATGACTTTTTATTGTTTTTTTCAGTGACTTGACTAATATTTAATGTATCAGTTGGGTTAATATAAAACCAAGGAAGGAAGTTTAAGACATCTTCCACTGTGGTCAGGTTTGTTATAATGGATGGATGAAAGTAATCATTTATATTTTTGATTTCCTGGGAAACATTGGCCAGTCTTGACAAGCCCTTTCTAGTTAAGCTGATTCTCTCTTCACCTGATATTCTGATAGCACCCCTGGCCAGGTTTCTGGGGGCACCAACTTGCAAAGTAGGGTGATCTTGCAAGAGACAAGTGTTTTTGATCTGCCGAGGCAGGCTGATGGAATTTGTGGACCAGTTTCTGACATCCCAAGCAATTATGATGCTTAAAGTATTTTAAACGATCCCAGGTCTATAAAAAAAGTGATGATGTCTATGTGTATACCCTATATTTTTTATTACAAAAATATTGAAATAATCCATGAGTTATTCCACTCTGCACCAACTATAAAAAAATACTATCAAAGTTTGACCGGCACTTTTAATGCAACAAAAAGCACCATGACTGGGGACACTGAGAACAGAAAGCAGGGAGTGTTCACGTGCTGTACGGAGGTATTTAAAACCCAGAAGCTTGTTGTGAGAGTGCGACTTTACAGATGATTCAAATACAAATCTTAGCTGGATACAGTGTTAAGCCCTCTATCAGTTCAGGAGGGCTTTCTCATAGCATATTCACTGTATTTGTCTGCTCATACTTACTAAAAAGTGTCCCAAAGCCTCTAAAAGACACATCGCTTTGACCTAGGATTGCGGGGGTAAAGTCTGTACACAGTGGAGAACTTGATTGTTCATTCTCTCATTTGCTTTTGGGGGCTCACGCCACTCATTCTCAGTTGTTTGGGGCTTCCATGTCAGTCCTGTGGTTGGATGCTGTTTGGCACTAGAAAGGAGTGGTGTGTTGTCTCTTGGAATCACTCCTGGAATGACATAGAGCCCGCCACTGGGCCTGCGCATTCCAATGGGAGCTGCACGTGCCTGGGAATCAACTCTCATTGTGCCTTTCCCCCACTTCCTCTTTGTGTACTTATTAATTGTTGCAATTGAATACTGAACCATGGATATCACTTAGTTTACATCACGAAGTTATCAAGCTCCTTGGTCTTGTCAAAAGCCACACATGTGCTGCATAGGATTTCTGTCAAAAAACGATGTTCTCAACTGAAAATTTAAAATAAAAAAATCCGAAATGTGTAGAAAACGAACCATTCAATCAATGCTAACACATGTGTAAACACACTTGAGTTTGCTGTCCGTTAGATAAGCTTTTCACACATGGTATGGGTTTCCAAATAAGAAAATGGGTCATGAATTTTCTAAGCAGTTCTATTTTATTTTTCTGGAGTCTTGAGGGATATATTTTCTCTCTCTTTGTTTTTATATTCCTGTGGGAATCAGAGCTTTGCATCAAGAAAAATCACCTAAGCTATTCTGACAGAGGACTGGTGTTATCTGTGTGTGTGTGTGTTATGCGTGTTAGTGTGTGTATGACTGAATCTGTTTTTATGCAAAGATCAGTTAACTCCATTGAAACACCCTATGGACTGGAGGCAAAATTTTCTATAACAGTAGTTCCCTCTGGTGGGCGCTCTCCCAGACTGTGTAGGAGGAGTTTGGTGGCGATGGAGAGTCATGTTTAGCTGGCGTCCTTCCTTCAGGTGGACAGAGAGACTCGCGGGCACTGCTGGTTTGGAGGGAGACCAGCAGAGGATCCAACGAAAATCGTGATCACGGCCAGACTGAGAACTTCACCGCTCGTTGCCCTCCTCTAGGATGAAGTGCCATTGTTGCCACAGCCCTGCTGTCACCCCTTCCTCTGGATGTTGTGGCTCCTGCAAGCCCTTGCGTTTTATAAAGTGGTTTCGTACTCCAGCCGCTCCTGGATAAGGGCATCGTCTTTGTACTGCAGCCTCGGAGGAGACGGGGAGCATTCGAAGGCTAAGATGGCCTTTCGTAGGCTTCGGTCCAAAACATGTCTCTCCCACGCTGGGTACCTATTCCTGAACAGGTCAATTTTAATGACTGATTCTTCAATCCGTGGTGGGCGAGATGAGGGAGTGGACGGGGCGGTGGGCCTCACCTGAAAGACAGGCACGCACCCATCCCGCTCTGCGAACTTCTGATCGCGCTCGCTGGCCACGCTGCGGTTGTTGGAGACGGAGCGCAGGGTGCTCGTGGCCACTTCCGGGGGCAGGGAGAAGGCAGCGCCCGGGTCCTCACAAGCACAGCTTGGTGACTGCCCGAATCTGGGTCCGTTGGGGTGAAAGAAGGCATAATACATCAGCATGAAAACAACGCCAGTCAAGAAGCTGCTGAACACCACACACAGTGCCGGGATGGCAAACGCATCTGCGATCTGGGGAGCCTTGTAGAGGTACCAGAGGGCACTCAAGGCTGTATTTTCCAGAAGGATCACAAAATAGTAAATGAATAACCTGCAGCGTGTCCTGCCTTCCTTGACGTTGAACCAACTGAAGATGTAGATGATCCCCACCACCATGTCGAACACAATCTCTTCCCATTTAGTGATGCAGAACTCCGTCTCACAGTGGACGATCCAGAAGGTCATGATGCACCAGTGAAGGACGATGAAGATCCCAAAGTACAGCTGGAAAACCGAGGCAAAGAGGGCGAACGTGATAACCCTGGCGGCGATGGTGAAGAAGTGCCAGCAGAACTGGATGATGACCGCCATGTAGCTGATGGGCTTCTTGTCATCACGGGAGTCCCGGAGGGCCTTCTGGTAAGACGCCAAGGCCCAGGCCAAGGACACGAGGGAAGCTGCCGCAGTGAAACCTACAAGCAGGAAGACAGAAAGACAGTCTGTCAAAAGTGAGCTGCAGCGATGCCCTCTGGAAGTCAAGTCACACGGACGTGAGGGTTTGGGACAGGCTGGCTTGGATCTCAGCAAAGGCTCTTAATTTCTCTGAGGTTTAACTCAGATGGGGATCCCAGTATCTGTCCTCCCTGAAGCCAGCCACATGGAGAAGTAACAACGCCAACAGGAATATGACTCAAAACCGGCGTATGATGCAAGACCTGGAAATGGGGTGGGATTTCACTTTCCATGTGTTTGGTGTAAATAGACTAAGGTGGTGGTTTTGTGTGTTGGGAAAATAACTGGATCGGAGGGTGTCAGGATTGGGTTGCTGCTTCCACTTTGCCACTTATTACCTGCATGACCTTGACAATCATTTAAACAGGGGTCCTCATTTATAAATCAGGGATTGCCAAGGCTTCCCATCAGCTCTGAGATTCTATGATTGAAAGGGATGCACAACCACAAGAAACTTGAGGGACTAGCTGCCTTACCTTTCTGCTTCTAAGAAAGAATTAATGTAGCTCATTCACAAAAATAGAGTTTTTACTTTCTTAAAAATAAGCAAAGGCATCTATGCAATACCCTTGACAATGCTTCTGGTGGCATCCGGAGTGCAGTTTGCCCTAAAGTAATCTGATACTCTTCCTGCAGCTTTTGTCTGCTCCTTGCTGCCTTTCCCTTAAAAGAAGAGATGTCCACTCACTGTCATTCACCCTTTAGCTTTTCATAAATTAAAAATTATAGTAAAAACGTTCCAATCGCTTTTCTTATTTTATCATTTCATTAGCCCCATATGGTTGGTATTCCCTCTAAGAGTAAGTTTCCAAATTTTAAATGTAATTTTCATTGCTTTCTTCCACCCTTGCTCCATCTCCTGTGACTCAAAGGAGTCACCGTGGTCCAGACACGGACAGCGCTCTCCTAAAAGCCCTGGCTTCCTTTAGGAGAGAGCGCTAAATACTGTCCAACAGCCACTTCCTGTACTTCTGCCCAGTGAAGCCTGCAGAGCCACCGCACAGGCTACACTGGGACCTTGGGACCCTCTGGGCTTCCCCCCCTTTCTTTTTTCTTCCCCCGCTGGCCGGCACAAAAATCCTTCATTATTGTAAGTCACAGGCAGCTGTGGCGGTATCTCTGATACTATGGCCAGTTAGAGATCAGCACACAAAGGAGTTTATGGTAATTTAATTTCTATGCAAACGGAAAACACCAACATCAATTACAAAGCAAATTCAGGAGTGAAAAGAGAGGGAAGGAGGAAAAAAAAAAAAAAAAAAAAAAAGGAAGGAAGAAGGTGAGAGAATGGGAAGTGGTGATGGGGTAATAACTATGCAAACAACGCATTTATTATTGGTTTGGGATCTAAGAACAAAAAGGTGTGCCACTTTTAAATTTCAACACCTTTGCATGGCATAGAAGCTACTCATACCTCGCTCCCTATCTGTACCATTTGCAAATTTGTAGATTCTTGAATAGACTGTGCTTGTTTTACTCTTTAAACTGCGCAGCCCGCGCAGTTCCTGCACCGGAACGCCCCTCTCCGCGCGCGCGCCTCCTTTAGGGCCGCGCCCGGCGCAGCGCCCCCTTCAGGGAGACGGCCGCAGCGCGGGCCGGGGCGTGCGAGCCAGACGCGGACGCCACCTGGTGGGCGCCGTGGTTCCACCGCTTTGCACTGGAAGACGTTATTTAAAGCTGCTTTCCAAAGCAGTGACAAGATAGTAACAGACTTTAAGTACACAGCGTCATGAAATTATTACCTGTTGTCAGGCTAGAAAAATTAGCCTCGTTCAAATTCGCCTGTAATCTTTATCCCTTTTATTGTGTGTCCTAAAAGAGCAATTCAGTCTGTGTTTGCCACTCCAGGAACTTGACAAGATGATATTCTGGCAGCAGAAAAATGAAGACTTTCTATCAGCCTTGGTTTCTATATATTAATATATTACAATTAAAAAAATCTAAACCAAAGGGAAATTTCATGTCTGTCGTGGCCACCCCCTTTTTGAATTCTCTGCTTCAGCAACAATTAGAATTTCTCTTCCTTATTTGATTATGATTTGTTTTTTCTCTTGTTTAGCAATTAAATTTTAGAAGACAAATCAATGTCTGAATAGAAAATATGGGGTCATTTTAGGGACATTCACACCTGCCACAGAATGCTTAGTTCTTCTGCTCTTAATACAAACGACACTGGTTATCTCCAAGGCCAAGGCAGCCTCCCGCCAGCAGAGGGCGCCGCCTGAGTGGTACAGGACCCTGGGACTTCGGTGCAGTGGGGCTCAGACGGGGCTGACGCGTGCTGGGACACGGGCCTCGGAGGACTCCTTTAGCTAACGATGTATGTTTTAGGCTTTTATTTGAAATAATTTCAAACTTACAGAAGAACTGTACAAATAAAAATAGTACTAAGAACACCTATGTACCCTTTGCCCAGATTGTCCACTGGTCTCAGGTGCTTCATCATTGCGTCCTCTCTGTCTCTCTTCCTGTTTCTCTGTCTCTCTCATACCATTAGAGAAGAAATTGTATATATCACGTATCATAGCCCTTTGCGCTAAAATACATCAGTGTTTACCTCCTAAGAATAGGGATTTTCTCTTACGTACCACAGTAAAGTGATGACTTTGGTTAATTTAACACTGATACTTTTTCCTAACCTACCATCAATATTCCAGTGTCACAATTGCCATCAACAATATCCATTCCAGAATTTTTCCCTCTGGTACAGGATTGAGTCTAGGATCAGGTATTACAATTTAATTTTTTTAATCTGGAATATTTCTACAGCCTTTCTTTAAGACATTGACATTTTTTGGAGAGTACAGTATCCTGAAATTAAAAAAAAAAAAAAAAGAAGAAGAAGAAGAAGAAGGAAGTGTTCTTCGTTTTGGGCTTATCTGCTGTTTTTTCATGGCTGGATTCAGGTTATGCACCCCGGGCAGGAATACATATGTGACATTGAACAGTGCATTATTTTCAACATCATTAAAATACTAAAACATAAAATTTCCTTCAGTGGAATATATATATATTCCACTGTGTGTGTGTATGTAAAAATACAATATATAATGTGTTTGTATTTTCTATCAGAATAATAGCATATCACTCATGAAAACTTCACTCTACGATCAAACTATAAAAATAGCTACAGGGGACTCAAAGGGATTATATTATTTCTTAAAATGTGAACATAGACGATAAGACTCAGAATTTACCTGGTATAATAATCTCATTTTATAGAAAAGAAATTGAGTCTTACTTTGAGAGGTTAAATGATTTATCTTCCATCCCTCCTGCCTCCCACTTGTCTCAGGTGAAAACTGTCCTTCTTCAACTCCAGAGCTGATCCTCCTGATTCCTTGAGAAAGGACCCTATCAGTTATCCTGCCTCCTTTGTATTCCATCTCTTCCTCTCTAAGAGCTCCTTCCCCAGGTCTTACAAACATGTGACAAGACTCCTGTACCCCAGGAAATAACCGTTCACTTGATTTTATCTCTTCTCTTCCTTTGTTTCAGATTCATCTCCTGTTTCCCCTCCTGTTCTTTCTTTCGTGTTTCCCCATTTTGTCTGCTTGTCCTTGAGCTATGGCATTGCTTGGATGTCATCCTTGGTCCTCTTCCCTTCCCAGCATCTCTCTGAGTGACCTGACTTACTCCCACATCTCAAACCACCTCCTCCAACTCACCAGGCTTGTGAGCTCTAGGGCTGTGTCTATTTACCTGAAACCCCATAGGCCTACTATGGAATACCTGGAAGCAATTTCCTAGGTGACAACGTTTGCTTTCTTGTGGAAAGAACATAATTCTTCCTTTTATCCCCCCTGTCGTTAGTGTAATACCCTTCTTAGAATGAAAGAGAACATGAATTTCCAGATAGGCTGCCACAGTTCTAAGAAAAGGGTTTTATGTGTAGCTCAACTGAAATACCATGTTGCAAAGCCAACCAAATCCATGTGTTCATAATGTGTGCCATTTTGCTGCATTGCTTCTGTCACTGAATTGAGTCCAGGTGATCCAGGTGTCTTTGCTTTCTTACTGCACTGCAGCCTGAACAATCAATCTGACTTTGAATACAACAGTTCAATGACCATAAAGTTACTAAGACAGTTTATTCCACCATTTTGAGCTGATTATCTATATAGCTATATAGATATAGATATTCCTTTTCTTTGGATAAGGGTTGTTAAGGGATATAACAGCCTTGGAAATATTATAATCCAAGAGTTTTGGTTTTGCAACTCTAGACTAGAAGGGATCTACTTCTGTCTCCTCAGATCTGTGATTTGAAGAATTATAGACACTGCTTAGTAAGCCAGTGGCTAGTTTTTCAGAAGACGTCTAAGATACATGTCCATTTTGAATAAAGATATTTCGGAATAAGGGTTATGGGTCTGGTACTAGCTAGTTAGCTAATTAACATTTCAAAAGGAACTGACTGAAATCAATACCATTAGTCCAAGTGAACAGCAAGGTCTTGAGTTTCTTTCCTCTTCTTTTCTTTTGCTTAGGAATGTTCTTTCCCTTTAGAGTATCTCTCTTCATGTCCTTTCCTTCCTTCCCTTCCTTTTCCTCTCTCTAGCTATTGTTCCCTCCTCCCCTTTCACTCTGCTCCATCTTTCTTTCCCATTATTTCCTGCTCCCATTGCACTTCACATGAAACTGAATTATTATAAAAAAGTTGAATTAATGAAATAAAGTTTGGGGTTTCCAAACCCAACCCCAAATCCATTCTTAAAACACAAACAGGCCGGGCGCTGTGGCTCACGCCTGTAATCCTAGCTCTTGGGAGGCCGAGGCGGGCGGATTGCTCAAGGTCAGGAGTTCAAAACCAGCCTGAGCAAGAGCGAGACCCCGTCTCTACTATAAAATAGAAATAAATTAATTGGCCAACTGATATATATATAAAAAAATTAGCCGGGCATGGTGGCGCATGCCTGTAGTCCCAGCTACTCGGGAGGCTGAGGCAGAAGGATCACTC